CTCCCTCCTCCCTCCTCCCTCCCGTCCTCCCTCCTCCCTCCCTCCCTCCTCCTCTCCTCCTCCCTCCTCCCATTCCTCCCTCCTCCGCCTCCCTCCTCCCTCCTCCCTGCTCCTGCTTCCTGCTCCCTGCTCCCTGCACCCTGCACCCTCCTCCCTCCTCCTTCCTCTCCTCCCTCCTCCTTCCCCTACCTCCTCCTCCTCTCCTCTCCACCCCCCTCCTCCTCCTCCTCCTCCTCCTCCTCCTTCGCCGCAGCCGCCGCCGCCGCCGCCTACTCCGCCTCCTCCTCCGCCTCCTCCGCCTCCTCCGCCTCCTCCTCCTCCTCCTTCTCCTGATCGTCGTCGTAGCCGTCGACATAATCACCACCACCACCATCATCAATCATCGAGATTAGCAGTAACCTTCGCGCCCCTGGGGGTGACTGAGATGTCTGACTGTACGGTGCGAGCGCGGCCGCAAGAAACCCTCGCAAGAAACCCAACCCTGAAAACCCGCGCGCGAGGTGCGCCTGACGGAAAGAAAGCACGAAGCACCCTGAACGCAGCAGCTTCTTTGGCGGCCGCAGGAAGTCATCGCGCAGCGCGCGAAGCGAAGAAACCCACGGCACCCTAATGAAAAGCGGATGGTTTCTTAATGCGCGCCCCCACTGTAGTGTCCAAAATTACCTGCACAGGAATACCCAAGGCCCCGAACAAGGAAAATCCAAGGAGCTGAGCCCACCATTTCCTGACCCAGTCGTAGGACCTCCCCCAGCTGGACATGCCCATCGCCCCGAGCCGACTTCTGGCAGCAATGGCCCCATGGGTGGAGGGGGCCCCAGAAAGGCCGCCAAAGACGGCCAAGAACATCCAGGGCTCGTCTCGCTCAGGACTAAGACGAAGCCAGGACGAAGACACATTCGGGTGAGGATAAATCGGAAATCTCTGAGATCCGGCGGCTCTGGAGGATGTCTCGGGCGCCGCGGCCTTCTCAGAGCGTCCTAGAACGCTCTCTGAGAGCGTTCCAGAACGCTCGGGAACGGACATATGGTCCAGGGTTTGGGCCCCCCCCCCCCCAATGCTGATGCCATTGGGCTCCCCCCCCCCCGCGCGATGGTCCCCCCGCCCCCCCCTGTGGGCGTGGCGTGGTGCTGCGCTGCGGTTCCCCCCCCCCCTGTGGATGTGGTGTGGTGCTGTGGTGGTTCAGAGGTGGGCGTGGCGTGGCGGTGCCCCCCTCCCCCCCCCCTGTGGATGTGGTGTGGTGCTGTGGTGGTTCAGAGGTCGTCGTCGTCGTCGTCGTCGTCGTCGTCGTCGTCGCCGTCGTCCTCGTCCTCGTCGTCCTCGTCGTCCTCGTCGTCCTCGTCGTCCTCGTCGTCATCGTCGTCGTCATCGTCGTCGTCATCGTCGTCGTCGCCGTCGTCATCGTCGTCATCGTCGTCGTCGCAGCCGCCGCCGGCGTCGTCGCCGCCGCAGCCGTCGTTGTCGTCGTCGTGGTCGTCGTCGTCGTCGTCGTCGCCGTCGTCGCCGTCGTCGCCGTCGTCGCAGCCGTCGTCGTCGTCGTCGTCGTCGTCGTCGTCGTCGTCGTCGTCGTCGTCATCGTCGTCGTCGCCGTCGTCATCGTCGTCATCGTCGTCGTCGCAGCCGCCGCCGCGTCGTCGCCGCCGCAGCCGTCGTTGTCGTCGTCCGTGGTCGTTGTCGTCGTCGTGGTCGTCGTCGTCGTCGTCGTCGTCGTCGCCGTCGTCGCCGTCGTCGCAGCCGTCGTCGTCGTCGTCGTCGTCGTCGTCGTCGTCGTCGTCGTCGTCGTCGTCGTCGTCGTCTCTGGGGCCATACCATCTGGGGGGGGGGGCCCGAGGAATCCTGGGACCATACCATCTGGGGGGGGGGGCCCGTGGGCCCTCGACCCTGGATCATATATCCTGACGATACATCCGTTCCAGAGGATGTATCCTAAGGATACTTCCTGACGGGGACAGGACGAGTCGTCCTATCCTCGTCCCAGCCCCGCCCGACTCCAGGGTCCGTCTTGCTCGGGACCCCTCTGCCTTCGTGGCGACCTGGCGGCGCGCACGAGGGGGTGGCGCGAGGGGGCCTCCCAGAACGGACGAACGAAACACGGCAGGAGACTTTTTCTTCGAATCGGCGATAACCCGGGTTATCCGGGGGCGGGGGAGGGGGCTGGCCGATAACCTAACCTTCGCGCTGTGGGCAGCCCTGCATATGCCCGCGTCCCCCCACCCCCGACCTGCACGATTGGCAAGGTTAGGTTATCCCGGGGGGGGGGGGGGCAAGCCCGAAAACCCGAGTTGTCGCCAGACCCTGAAAAAACACGGTCTCCAGCAACATCAACGTTTGGAGCTCCGCGCGGATTTCTTGGATTGGCGCTGGGCCCCCCTGGCGGAGCCTCCGGCGCGGCCCCCGGCGCGCTTCGCGCGCCAAGGAGGGGGGGGGTTCAGCGCCGACCCGAGAAATCCGCGCGGAGCTCCACAAGTTTACGCTGACGACGGTATTTGGTGTTCGTCGGTCCGGGAGACTCTTCATGGGGGGGATCCCATGGGGGGATGGGATCCCAGGGGGGGGATCCCATAGGATCCCCGGGGGATCCGATGGGGGCCAGGAGGGGATCACATGGGGGGGATCCCCTCCTGCCCCCCCATGGGATCCCCCCCCATGGAGAGTCTCCCGATCGGTAGAAGGCAGGAGTCGTCTTAAAAACCCTGCCGGCTTCTGAGAAGACTTCTTGGAGGCCTGTGGGCCCTCCTCGAGAGAAGCCCCCGGGCCCTCCCGAGCAGCCCCCCGCCGTTCTCAGCAGGCCGCCCCCCTCGCGTGATCCCCGTGTCCCAGACATCCGACGTCGTGTCTTGACCTTGTCCACAACTGAAGGGCAACGATGTGGGGGGACTGGCATAGGGGGAAACCTCCTCCTGGAATCCGCTGCGCATCGCCGATAGCAAATCCCCACGGTCCTGGGCAGGGTGGGGCTATCGGGCTCCTATCGGCGATCACTGGACAATTGGGAGTCGATGCATGCCCCCCCCTATGCCCATCCCCCCTACCGCTGCCCCTGAGCAGCGTGGCCCCCCAGTGGTCCCCAGCCCCCTGGGGACTGGGCCCTCCTGTCCCAGGAGCTCTCGACGGCCTGCAGGGCCCGGCACAGGGCCCCAAAAGGCCGAACACGGCCCCCCCCCCGGACATCCGCAGACCTGGTCTTGAAGGGGTCCCAAAGCCGTGTGGTGACGGACCCGGCGGTGACCTCGAAATCCACAACGACCTCACCGCAGGGTCCGTCGCCACGAGGTGTTGGGACCTCGGAGGCCCCAGTCGTCCCAGACATCTCCGGAGAGCGACCCACGTCCCAAAACCGTGCGGTGACCCCGCATCCCCACCGACTCACCATGCGGTGTGGTCACCACACCGCTTGAGGGCCCCCGATCTTGGCAATCCGCGGCCCCAGCCTCCCCAGGCCCAGTTTCTCAAGGGCTCCCAACTTCGCGCTCTCGCGCCGCCCCCCCAGAGGAAGAACAGGAGGACGAGGAGGAGGGGGAGAAGGAACGAGGGCCGCGAGGCGCGAAGCGAAGCACGAAAAACTTCGCGCCCTCGTGGGAGCCCTCGGGCCCCTGCCTCCCCGGGGCCCGTTCCTGCTGCCTCGGGCGTGCTGCTCTTCCCCGGGGCCCGTACACGGCCCCCGAGGGCCGAGACCGAGGGCAAGCCGCCGGCTGAGAAGATCACATCGTCGGAGCTCCGGGGGCGCGACCCTCCTGGCGGCGCGCATGAATCGGGGGCGCGGGAAGCATGGATTAGCGATCCAGGGATCTGGCGCGCGGTCGCCAAATCCATGGATCGGGGGAGGTGCCATCCCCAAAAATGTGGCCGGTGCGGCCTCGTTCGGCGGTGGAAATCCGCGATTTCCCATGGAAACGGGACCCGTCGCTAATCCACACCCCCTTGATCCATATTTGCGATCGCCTGAATAAGGGGGTAGGGGGAGGGGGGAAGGCCTCTTAGAACGAGGCTGCTCCTTGGGAGGCGCTGGCCTTACATCTACAGACAAGGCCCGCGCCTTCTGAGAGGCAACCTCCTTCTAAGCAGCCTTTCCCCCTCCCCCGGCCCCTCCTCTGCGCGTGGCTGATCATTCCGCGACGCGAGGATGCCGGGGGTGCGCGCAGCTATGGGCGACAGCCTCCAGCCGCGCCGCCAGCGGCTGGTCCTGCTGCCCCGCCGGCGCCCCAGTCTGAGGGGCCACGATAAGCGACCACGTGTGATAAGACGAAGCCAGGACGAAGCCGAGGAGCTGGGCCTACCCTTTCCTGATCCCAACAGGCTGACCCCCCCAAGTCGAAGGGCCTCCACCCGCTGGACATGCCCATCGCCCCGAGCCGACTTGTGGCAGCACTGGCCCCCTGGGCGGAGGGGGCCCAGACGTGGCCCCCGACGACGGCCAGGAACCTCCAGGGCTCGTCTCGCTCATGACTGAGACGAAGCCATGACGAGGATAAAAGCGGGTGGGGATAAATTGAGAATCTCTGAGATCCAGCGACTCTGGAGGATGTATCGGGCGTCGCGGCCCTCTCAGAGCGTCCTAGAACGCTCTGAGAGCGTTCTGGAACGCTCTGGAACGGATTTATCCTCGTCCTAGCCCCTCCCGATGTGCGCCCTACAAGTGAGATTTCTGTAACACCAGCTGGGTTTTAGGAGGCAATTTCTGGGAGACCTTCGCCAGGAAGACTAAAGCTATCGGGCCCGATTCACGAGCTTTTGGGCCGGATCAGGATCAAGCCAGACTAAGCGGGATTAAGCCCCAAATCAAAGGGGAGGCCAGATTGGGCCAGTTCTCGACCATGGATATACCAGCGCCGATCCTGAATTGAACCTCGCGGGAGTTGCATCCTGAGCTGGCGTTCAAAATGCGAAGGACGTCTGCAGACAGGTGAACCCCAGCTGGGGTGTCCGATGTCCGATAGCCCCTCGTCGACTGGACCAGCAGGGGTAGGCCTGGCAATCGGTCGCAGAAACGATGAGGGGGGAACCGTTCCAAGGAAGGGGGGGGAATGAAGGGGCCCAGGGACACACAAATAAATACACACAAATCCCAGGATTCCCCATATTTCCTATATTTTTGGATTTTCGTCTCCCCCCCCCCCAGTTCCCACATTTTCGCATATCTTCCTGGGAATCGACGATCGATTGTGTCTGTGTGTTTTCCCCCTCCCGAGGGAAACCGGCCACCTGGAAGCAGCGATGCATCGCCGACAGATCGGCGACAGACCCCGATGTGGAGCCGCTCGGTCCCGGGCGGGGTGGGCTGCCCGGGCCACCGACTTCGCACGTCGCGTCCCGCGAGGCGCGACCCGCGGCCGCCTTGCCCGTCCTCGCGCCGCGCCCCTGGAGAAAGCCGGCTCGGCGGCCCTGGCCTTGGCGCGCGCGGCGCGACCATCCTCGTGCCCCCGAGGGGGGACCTGGGCGGCTGTAGGCCGCTGCACTGCCCCCCTGAGCCTGCCCCACCCCCCCGTCGTTGGCCCCTGGCTTTCGGGCAGCAGCTCGGCTCTCCGGCGGCCACTCGGGGACCCCCGGGAACGCGGTCGGCGAGGCGCAGCTGCTGGAAGCATCCCGAGGCTGGAAAGACGCCGAGAACCAACCAAAACACCCGAAAACCCTCCTGAGCCGTTCAAAACAGCGACGTCTGATGAGCTTGAGAGGGCGGAAATTCCCATCCTATTTACGAGATCGCTCCAAATCCGGAGTCAAGGTTAAGTCGGGCGTGTCCCCCTACAGGCGGATTCTGGGCGAAAAATAGAAAGTAACCAAAAAATAATCAAAAATAGTTTAAAAAATTATAGAAAAAGTCGTCCCCAGAGTATTTCGTTCGACTGTTTTTGAATATTCCTCCTGTAGAGGGACGTGCCCGACTTATAAAATCAAGGGGGGGAGCAGCGACCCAGAATCGGCGACAGGCCATCGACAGATCGATGAAAGCGCATCGACCCAGAATCGGTGACACATCGCCAGCAGATTGGCGACAGGCCCCCGACGGATCGACGACAGTGCCTCGAAAACTCCCCGAACCTTCGAAGATTGACAGAACGCCCTTTAGCAAAACGCCCTTGAGTGAAAGCTGTCACGTGCACTCCACGTGCGCACGGCACCGCATTCCAAGTGGGCCCAAGCGGGATGGCAGATCGACGCCCAAAACCAGCCGAACTTCACCGGCAAAACATGCGCGGATTAGCGAAACCGACTGGGGACTGCACCGGTTCGCTCGCATGCCGATGTCAACTGAACTGGTGCAGCTTTCCCGAGTTGCCTTGTCTGAGAGGGAGTTCTCTCAATGCTCGAAACCTTCGAACTTTGAGGCGGCCAAGGAGTCCGAGGTGGATGGGCCCCAAGAAAATTAGCCAAGATGAGGGATTAGGGCACATCCGCTCAAAATTCGTCCCCCAACCTGTCCCGGGGTCCATCTGGTGCAACTTTTCACCCCGCATCCGTTTTTGACGGTCCTGGGCCCGAAAACTGCCTCAGGTGGCCCAAAAAGGGGGAACAAAAAAAAGAAAACCTTTTCGAACCCAAAACCTCGAACCTGCCCCCCCGCCCCCTCCTTCCTGCTGGCCGGAACCAGTGCAGGGCTACCTCAGACCCCCAACCGAATCCAAAGTGGGCATTCTCTCAATGCCCAGAATAGGAGGACCACTTCCGAACCCTACCTCCGCCAACCATCGGTTCTCCTGAATCGATGGGAGGCCTGGGTAATATTCGGATTTCGCCACGTGTTCGACGAAATCCGAACCCTACCCCCGCCTCCCATCGAGCTGCCTGAATCGTTGATCGGCAAAAGAAGGGCTCGGATTTCGCCGCCGACGAAACCTGCGAACCCCCATTGCGACAGCCTCTGGCCGCGCCGCCAACGGCCTCGGCGGGGCCCCAGCCTCGTCCTCCTCCTTCTCCTCCTCCTCCTCCTCCTCCTCGTCCTCCTCCTCGCGTGAAGCGCGAGCTTGTTGCGTTACTGGAAGAAGGAAAAAAACGCCGACTTCGCAAGCGAAAAACAAATTGACCTGGTGGGCGCAGCGGAACAGGTTGTGCAAAAAGAACAGAAAAGTAGAGGGCCTTAGAGTATGTGCCCGCCAGGCGGTAGGAAGGCGCTGCAACGCCTGGTGTTACCTTTGTACCCCTCCCACGGCTACAAGGAACCTCCCCATACTAGAACCTCCCAAGCTCCTCCTCCTCCTCCTCCTCCTCCTCCTCGTTGTCGTCCTCCTCCTCCTCCTCCTCCTCCTCCTCCTCCTCGAGCCTCCTCCTCGAGCCTCCTCCTCGAGCCTCCTCCCTTCGAACCCCGTGGCGACGGCCTCCCGTGCCGCCAGCGGCCTCGCCGGCGCCCCAGCCTCGGGCCGCATAGCCCGCGGCGGCTGCGCTGCCAGCCGCGGCCGCCGCGCCCTTGTCCGCGGCGCCGCCGCTGGGGGCGGGCGCGTCGGGGCGCCGGCTGGGCTGGCAGATGTGGAACCGCATCAGGCTCGCGGGCTTGGGCATGCTCGCCACCTCCCCCGGGAGGCGGCGCGATTCGCCTCGGCTCGCGTTTCGGCCTCGGCCCGCTTCGGCTCCTGTCGGCTCGTGCCGGCTTCGGCCCGCTCATCGGCCCCGCTCGTTTCGGATTCGGCCGGTTTCGGCTCGCGGGCTTGGGCATGCTCGCCACCTCTAGGACGCACCAAACACACAGACAGACACACACACAAACACGCACGCACGCACGCACACACATACATACACCACAGACACGAACGCACACACGCACGCACGCACGCACGCGCACACACACAAACACACACACACGCACGCACGCACGCACGCAGACACCCACAGACAGACAACAGACACACACACACACACTCACACACAAACACACACACACACACACGCACACACACACACACACACACACACACACACACACACACACACACACGCGCACGCACGCACGCACGCCACGCCACGCCGCGCCGCGCCGCGCCACACGCGCACACACACACACACGCGCGCGCACGCACGCACGCACGCCACGCCACGCCGCGCCGCCACACGCACGCGCACGCGCACGCGCACGCGCAGGCGCAGGCGCAGGCGCAGGCGCAGGCGCAGGCGCAGGCGCAGGCGCACGCATGCGCACACGCACACGCACACGCACACGCACACGCACACGCACACACGCACGCACGCACAAACACACACACACACACACACACAACACGAACGCACGCACGCACACACGCACACACACACACCACACACACACACACACACCACACACACACGCACACACACACACACACTCTCACACACATGCACACACACAGACGCACACACACACATATACACATACACACACACACGCACACGCACGCGCACACGCAGCACGCACGCGCACACACACACACACATATACATAACTGTGTGTGCACACATGTGTATATATATATATATACATATATACGATACCGGAGAAAAGACCCAAACATAGTATTTTTAGGGCTATAGGGCTATGGGGCTATAGGGTTATAGGGCTATAAGGCTCTGGGGCTCTGGGGCTATAGGGCTATAGGGTTATAGGATTATAGGGCTACAGGGCTATAGGGCTATAGGGCTACAGGGCTACAGGGCTATAGGGCTATCGGGCTATAGGGATATAGGGCTATAGGGCTTTAAGGGCTATAGGGCTATAGGGCGATAGGGCTATAGGGCTGTAAGGCTATAAGGCTATAGGGCTATAAGGCTATAGGGATATAGGGCACCTGGGCACCCGGGCACCTGGGCACCCGGCGTGCAGCCGAAATCGGCGCCACAGCTAACCTAACCATATGATACCGGAGAAAACGCGAATCATAATCTTTTTTGGGCTACAGGGCTATGGGGCTACAGGGCTATAAGGCTCCGGGGCTATAGGGCTATAGGGCTGTAGGGCTGTAGGGCTATAGGTCTTTAGGGCTTTAGGACTATACGGCTATAGGGCTATTAGCGCTATAGGGCTACAGGGCTATAGTGCTATAGGGCTATAGGGCTTTTAAGGCTATAAAGCACCCGAGCACCTGGGCACCCAGGCACCCGCGCACCCAGGCACCCGAGCACCGGGCACTGGGGCACCCGGGCGTGCCGCCGAAATCGGCGCCACAGCTAACCTAGCCGTATGAATCCGCTGGGACCCCTACAGAGGCAAGCTCTGATTGGGGAATGAATCCGCTAGGACCCCTACAGAGGCAAGCTCTGATTGGGGAATATCGTGCAAGCATCTCACAGCAAATCGTTACCCCAGCGATACGGTTCTACCCCAGCGATATGGCCAGAAAGCGCCCGCCGCTGAGCGTACACTGAAACTAAAAGATTTCTGAGCGCGCACGTCGCCCCTGTGGAACCGCATCAGGCTCGCGGGCTTGGGCATGCTCGCCACCTCCCCAGGACAAGGGCCCGTTTCGGCACTGGGGCCGTTTCGGCTTCGGGCCCGTCTCGACTTCGGCCGGTTTCGGCCTCGGCCCGTTTCGGCTTCGGCGCGTTTCTTCTCAGCTCGCTTCGGCTCCGCCCGTTTCGGCTTCGGCTCGTTTCGGCTTCGTCCCGTTTCGGCTCCGCTCGTTTCGAATTTAGCCGGTTTCGACGTCGGCCCGTTTCGGCTCGCGGGCTTGGGCATGCTCGCCACCTCCCCATGGGACGCAGAGGGACGTGCTAGTAACTACTATGCGCCCCCTCTTGGATGCGCACGTCCGAACCGAACATCTACTGAGCACCAGGCGGTGACCAGAAAGCGCCCGCCGCCGAGCATACACTATAAGATTAGTGAGCGCTCACGTCGCCCCTGGGGGGGGGACGCACACATAGAATAAGTAGGTTTGGGGCATGCTCACAACCTCCCCAGTCAGGTGGCCAGGCATGAGAGCTTCACGTATTCGCGCGCTGCTGTCACTAGAACCCACTAGATATCACTTGCGACCCCACTGAATTCCACTAGATCCCACTAACCCCCCCTACACAAAGTCCACGACGCGCCACCTGAGCACCCACTGCATCCCACTACACCAACGCAACCCATCATTCGAGAAACTCTTTGGGTCGAGCAGACGCTCCCATTCTTCCCCTAGAGGCCCCCAGGAGGCCTCCTCACTGCCTCTAAGAGGCCCCCGCGAGGCCTCCCACGAGATCCCAACGAACATCCAACAGGCTTGATACCCACAACCCAGGCACTGTGGCGGGATGGGCCGAAGGCCATTAGATAGTGGGACGAAAGTGCGCGGGGCTAAAGCGAGATCCCAAATTTGAAAACGACCTGTGCCCAATACTTGTAAATGTTGCCAGATTGTAAATGTTGCCAGATTGTGTGACGAAAGTGCGCGGCATCAAGACCAAAGTCCCATCTTGAAAATGAATCGTCCTCCACCCTTGAAACTGCTCTAAACTTGCAAGACGAATGAACAACGGCGCGAAAGCGAAGACTCCATGCTTAAAACGACCCCCCTCTTGAAAATGTTGCACACTTCAAGCTCCAAGATCATAGTCATAGTTGGTGAAGAAACCTCCCGACACGCCTGGGGGTGCGACAGGGATGAGCTACAAATAAGAAAAAGGATGGAGGCCCCTTCCTTGCTTCTCTTTGCTCCCTCCTCGCCACACGCTCGTCACTCATGCCTCCTCCCTTCCCTCTTTCACAACCATTCGCCTTCCCCCCTGCCCCCTCCTGCACCTCCTCCCTCTCCACAACTGCTTGGGCTCAAGGATGGCTCATGCAGCCTTGACTCGAGCGCATCGCTGCCGCGGCGTACAGCGCATGATTGCGAACGCATCGTCGCAGGATTCGGTGTCGACAGGTGTGCATGCAAACATGTTATGGCTGCACCTTCTGTAGCCGCCGACAGTCAGGTTCATCCGTGGCGTTGGAATACCGGGAATAATGTTGGGTCTTCAAAATGTTGTCTTCCAGCGAGGCAGGTCCCTCTGTGGAAATGAACCGTTGTAGGGGCCTATGAGGAGGGAGCTTGGGGGAGGGTTTATTCCAACATCGGGTAACTCTTGGGTTTACACTGGTCCTCCTCCTCCTCCTCCTCTTCTTCCTCCTCCTCGCCGAATCCCAAACACCCGACACCTTCAGAACGTTTCCCTGGGCTCTCCCGCTGACAGGGCTGCCCGGACTGCACGCAACCACATGTCTTGGCCAGAGGCGTGCCAAGGTGGAGCCAACACCACGCACCAGCCGGCAGCTTGAATCATTCTGGCCACACCCCACGCTCGATACCAGCCGCTGGATTCCTGGACAAATACGTCAGTCAGGAGAAGTACTTAAAAACATGAACTAGGAAGGCGGATACAGTGGGCAGGGTTCAGGCCCTCCCCGAGAATAACAGAGCACAGCAAACGCAGACGTAGAGTGGGATCTGGGAGAGAACGCGTTTCACGGGCGCTTGCCTTGGGAACATTCGGCGGCGCATTTCGAACCGGGGGGTGGCCCCCCCCCAACACTCGGCGCCGTCGATCAAAACAGGGGGGACTCCCCTCCCCCCCAAACCCCCCCTCCAGAACCCCTCCCCCCCCCCGGCGCCGGCGCCGGCGTTGGCGGCCGCCAGCAGCCCCACGGCGGGGCGCAGCGACAATGACCAGAAGCAGCCCGGAGGGGGGGGGGTCCAACCCTCCCCTGTCCAAATGTGAAGGGGGGGGGTCAAACCCCCCCCCCCCTCGGCGCCGGCGCTGGCGGCGGCCAGCAGCGCCGGCGCTGGCGCGGCGACGGCGGGGTCGCAGCGACGACGATTACCACCACTACCACCACCACCACTACCACCACCACACCGCGTCAACCACCATCACCACCACCACCACCACCACCACCACCACCACCACCACCACCACCCACCAACAGCACCACACAACCATCACCACAAGCCACCACCACCACAACCACCACACCACCACACACCTCACCATCACCGTCACACCACACCACACCACCACAATACCCACCACCACACCACCCACACCACCACCGCCACCACCGCCGCCGCCACCACCACCACCACCAGCACCACCTCCACAAACCACCGCCACAACCACAACCCACCACCACCACCACCACCACAAACCACCACCACACCACCACCAAACCACCACCAGCACCACCACCACCACCACAACCCACCACCACCACCACAAACCACCACCACCCACCGCCACAACCACCACAACAAACCACCACACCACCACCACCACCACACCACCACCACCGCCACCAGCACTACCACCACAACCCACCACCACCGCCACCACCGTCGTCCTCGTCGACGCTCCCCGCCACCGCCGCCCGCCGCTGCAGGCGCCTGCGCCGCGCCGGCCCAGAAATGGAAATCGTCGTCCCCGCCGCCGTCGCCAGCCGCCGCCGACGCAAGCGCAGCGCCGGCCCGAGGAGAGGGGAAGCAAACGGGGGGGGGGTTCGAACCCCCCCCCCCTCCGTCACGGGAGGGGCGGGGGTTCGAACCCCCCGCCCCCCTTCCATCCAAGGGACGGGGGGGCGGGGG